TTTAAAGAGCTTGAAAGCCCTTTTTAAGGCACCCCAAGCGCTTTTGATGTGCTTCAAGCACTTTTCAAATCACTTTGTGCTTGCCAAGCCCAAAGCACTTTGAAGGCTTTGTGCTTGTGAAGTACTTTTAAAAATAAAAAGGAATTTGTGCTTGAAATTGAAGCACTTTGATAGAGGGCTTAGGGCTTAGTGCTTCAAGCCCCTTTACTGGGGGCTTTGCCCAGCTCTACCGTCAACCACTTGAGATTCGCAGATGACATAGTACCTATAGTATTGATTAGCTTCGATATACAACAACTGCGACAGATGTGCCGGTGCACACCTATGGACTAAATAAATGGCTTTTACTAGAAAGACCGCTGAGAAACTATGGGTGACCCAAAGATCTATGGAAAGCGTCATTCTAGACGTCACCATTATAGAGACAAAATGCGAGATAACGCAATCCGAAACATACCCAACTAAAGTAACAGATACCCTACAGAGAGTGACAAGTGACAAGCAAGGAAAATGGGTTGGAAATGTTGCGAGACAGAATACAGATAGGAGGACGCACATAATTACGAAAAGTAGACCGCGTCAGACAAAAAGAGGAGTAGACAGACACAATTGGGATGGACAGACAACATCATTAAGGTAGCTAGAGAGAAGTGGATGAGGACGGCATAAGACAGAGAGACATGGAAGAGGCCTGTATTCAGCACTGGATGAGAGATGGGTAAGAAAGTGGTATCAGAAGACAGAGCATCGGTTACAACATGCAGTGACCTACTGTCTTCCAAAAAGCAAATCACAAAATTCGTTCGGAAAACCATACGATGGAAGTTGGCTAAGGAGACCTTCGTGCCACACCTGGTCAAAAGCCTTGGTCCAGTACTACAATTCTGGATTCGCCATGTTTTTCGAAAGTCGAGCTCCAAATAAGACTGACGTACGCTAGCAGATCCCCTTTTGATCGTTCAGAAGAACAAAAGCCGCGCTATTATTCAGAGATGACCTTATTGGCACATTTCCAGAGAGACGAGAAAATCAACTGTATAAGAGAGTGAAAACAGTTTACAAAGACACTTGAAGTCAATTCTTGTGTGCAAGTTTTGAGGACAATTGATGGAGTGCCGCGTCAGAACCACAAGATTTTCCAGTGTCAAGTTGCAGAAAAATGTCCCTAAAAGTTTTAGTTCTAAATACAACGTTGTCGGAGACGTTGCCCAATGTGTGGCAGTATCTGTGGCGCACGGCCATTGTCCTCCATCGTGAAGTTGGATGCAAATTATTGTTTGGCAAAGAGATCTACTTTTTCCTTTGAGGATACTACAATGGAATTATTGTCCTGATTGAACTATAGGTAGAAAGGAAGATTTGTAATTTTTTCCTATGGTCTTGGCAAAGGACCAAAAGGACCTTGAATTTCTCGGGTAGTCCAAACGTCGAATACGCACTTGGTGGTTGTGTAACTCCTTAGCCTCGTTGGTGTTACGGTTGCAATTTGCAATCATTTCTGGTAGCGGTAAAGGTCGATCAAGTTTGTTCGCATTGGTTTCTTCGCCAGGCACAATAAGCGGGGTTCTTTTTGCAACCGCTAGGACGCACTGCTTGTTAGGTTAACCAGGGTTTTCCGGTACGGGATGTTTTATTGCAGTATGGAATGTACTGCAAGGTGGCAGGAGAAATTGTATATCTGATGAAATGTACTGCCATGCCCGTGGAAATAAGAAAAAATCACTGTTATGTAGAATTGCCCATAACTGCTTATAACAAAAGCTATTTCATGTCCCCGATAATACGGATACTGCAGCAACATGTCGAACAGACCGAATGTAACTCTCTGATACCACCGCTACTATATTGTCTCCAAGATAGATGAGTAGGATTCAATCCATACACCAGCGCAGCAATAGCGCCCTTAGAACTGGAAGCTGATCAAGAGGAACCCTATTCCTATCAAACGATCAAAGATCTTGGCTCATGCGGTATATACACGTCCAATGAGATAAGAAGTGCGCAGGGCGCTATGATGTTCGGATTAGAAAGAAACGCCAGAAGTAACATGTTACGAAATATTGCAAGACAAGAACTTAATCAAGGGATCAACTCCATGGATGTATTTAGCAAGGAAGAGCTCGAAAAGTTGAAAAATATTACCATAAAGAAGTTATATTCAGTTAATGATGTCCTAAGGAAATTATGTCGGTAACCGCTTGTGCAGCCTTGGAGGAATCTTTGGATTTGAAGGAAACATCGGCCCACGAAAAGGTCGAGAAAAGTAGCTTGAGGCCTTCCTAGTTTGCAGCTCCATAATGCCCCACTCTACGAAGTATTGGGGTCTGATGGTATACCGAACCAACTTCGAGCGGAGATCAATTTGTAGTCTGATTTGCCTAAAGGTGCGGGATCGGGATTAGTGGTAAGGAACAGATCGAGTAAATTGGCCTGTTGAGATATGGAATCGGGAATACGTGTGGGCTCTTCTACCAACTGAGTTAGGCCGTGTGAAATGGCTGCAGCAATCCTTCCAGCATGGGTTGTTTTGTTCGAGAACCTCAGCCACTCTGAGTTATGAACATTAAAATCTTCCAAGAATATAATCCCAGAGTTCGGGGGTCTCCTGGATAGAGTTGAATGAATTTGCCAAATTTTCAAATAGAAGTTTATAACTAGATTAGTCGTTAGGTAAAAGATATACGCTGCAAACAAATTTGACGCTGTTCGTAGAAGTAATTTTTAGTTAAGTTACATCGTGATCAGGTGCTTCGAGATCATCCTGTCTGTGAGAAGAGAACTCATTGCGAGAAAAGAAGCTAAGTCCCAACTTGATGCGAAATCGCGTAGGTATGAATAAGTTTATAGCTGGGACATAGGAAATGGATTGGGTTGTAAGAAGATTTTACTTGCGTCTCCGTTAAGAATGTAGATTTTTGTGCTCAAGCAAGATGTTGGTGTACTGGAGTTTAAGTTGGCGGTAATACCTCTGACATTTAGAGAATTCAATTATTAAACTTGATGTAGACTCTCCTTTATACAAACGAATAGCCTATTAACTTTATCCAAACACTTCATAATAATATAATTGAAACAATACCTATATTCTTGAATAATAGGGCAAATACTTAGTAGTTATTTTAAGAGTAGGCATACAGATGGCAGTATGATCTATGTAAAAGATGAAATTGTAACAAAACAAATACTCAGTGGGTAATAGGAATGCAGGCCGTCATATAGATGCCTACTTTTTTAAAATATAATTTCTTATGTCTGTATCATTCCCCTAATGCTAGTCGCGCAACATTTCTAGAAAATATGGATAAAATTCTACAAGACATACATATTATTCAAGAGTAGTATTGGAAAACATGATAACAACCCTGAGAGCTTACCAACACGTCAATCAATTCACAAAAGTCACAGGACAAGGGAGAAGCATTATCGATTTGAAAGACACCACTACAAAAACTACCACTTATGATGTTCTTTTAACACCAAAGGTCATACTCACTATTTTTACAGCAGACTCGATAAAAAACCCTAATTGCTTCAAAAGATAGAGATTTTTCAAGATTTAATGAAACAGAGTACCAATTAGAACTAATAAACAAAAATTGGGAAGACGAATGTGAATTGACTGAGGAACATTATTGCAAAAATTTAATTGACTTTGAGCGAAATGACTTTGAATATTTCTACTAAGATTTTAAATAGGAAAATTATAATGAATTTAACGATTGCTGATTAGTGGAATGAATTTACTGAAGATTTTGAATTGAATTGACTATTGAAGATTATGGACTCTATTAGCCAATTGGAAGAATTTAAATAAATTGTGTAATGTTGACTTGGATTTTGAAAATAATATTGGTTGTTCAAGTTCAATCAATTAGAATTATTGAAAGAATTTGATTGAAATGATGTTTGTAATAAATAATCTGGCTAGGTTCTTGAATGTAAATAACAGTTTCGTATAAGTTTGTCAGTAAACGACTTCAGGGGTTTTAAAATTTATAATTTTTGAATTGAGTTTTTTAAAATATGTATTGATCCATTTAGTATTGAGTAGAAGAGTAAAATGATTCGAAGTAGGGCTTTATTTTTAAGATTGAAAAGTGTTTAAGTAAATTGAATTAGCAAAGATAGAGGTGGCTATAAGATTTTGGGAAATAAAACCGCTCGTCATTTACCATCTAACTAATTAAAAGAGTAGGTAGGTACTTGAGCGGACGGCTACAAAACCATTCTCCTGAACAATATACTGAAATCCAAAAAGACAAAATCAAGCTCTTCGTATTTCATCGGACACAAATACATATACAAAAATAGAAACTGTTGCTATTTTTTAAGTGTTCGACAAGTGATTTACAATACACTGGGTACTTATCTATTTAAAACACAGTTCTTGAACTGGTGATGCCTGGTAATTTTCTCGAAAACTGCGTTACTGTCCAAGATACCTATACATAATCATGTTACAAGATCTGCAAGCAACTTTTATATTAGAACTGAGTAGTAGAACATTTGACCAGTAGAAGTTTGTTCCATAAAGGACTAAAACTAAACTACCAAGCTACGTGCAGTCTAAGTTAATTTACCTATCTCTGTTTCAGATATGTATTTCCAATCAATGAAGTTTGAAAGTTCTCATGAACATAAATCACACAAAATGTTGAAATGTAATTATTTTAATAATAGGCCAAGTGCCAAGATAAAGCTAGCGTAGTTTATATAGAAGACTGGAGTCAAACTACCTACTCAATATATTTCATGTTTTCGTTGGTCACTTAACCCTAAATAAAATATATTCTTGTTTTTCATTTTCGCTATAGTTATACAATACTCTCAAGCTTTTGTCAACATTAAATTTTTCACTATCAAACAATATTGTGACTACAGGAACAATAATTTATTTGTTACCAAGAAAACTGGATCATCCATAATGCTACATCCATTGAATTGAATTGATTTACCATTAAGTAAGTAGGTACCTAGATAAGATATAAAAAATAAAAGTCTTGCTTGTTTAAAATATTTTAATATCACAGAAACATCTACAAACTACATGGTAGTATTAACAATAAAAAAGGATTACATTTTGCCATAAAAATAAGTTTTCAAATAAATACATTAGGTAATACTTCAGCAATCCGGCAAAATATACAAAAACTTGTGCTTGGGTACCTTAGGGGTCATAATCCTTGATAAACTTATAATTTATTGATAATTCTAATGTCTATACCTACCTACATAGAATCCACATTGAAAGTTTATCCAATATTACTTGAAATGCCATTTTAAGTAAGTTTGGATAAACTTCAGTGCAATTTCGTTTTAAATTGAAAGCAACTCACGCTCTATAAATATATATGTAGGTATATATGGCAGTAATGGAAAGCACTAGTGCGTTTTCGGAATGAAACTAAATGGCGTTTCCGATTGATAGATTCAGTGCGCACCGAGTGTATTTGCATCCTTTTAATCGACCTGTAGAAGAGAAAGACAGAAATAGAAAAAAGTGCACTAGTTCCGCATTAGTTCTACCAATCGAAAACGCCATAAATTTGAGTAAATTAAAACCATTTTTCTTTGTAGGTAGATAAGTATAGGTATGCCTATTTCCTAAGCTTTTTTGGTAACAAAACGTGAATAAACAATAGTCAAAGATTTCAAACAATATTCGCTCCGTCATTTTTACCGAAACGTTTCCGCAACAATTCATCGAGACTATTATGGTCGTAATAAACAATAAAATCTGTAGGCGACAGTCCTTCAAATACAGCGCTCACTGAAGGTTTGAGGTTGAAGAACAACAAAGGTTGGTTCCTGGCAGCAAAATCTTTAGTTAAAGTTCCGATGACTGTGGCAGCTGTGTAATCGGCACCATAAATGTGCGAACAGTCAATTACTACAGGAATTCCTTGTCTGATTGAGTGTTTGGTTACCAAGTTTCTTACGTAGTCGGTTGAAGGGAAAATTAGGCATCTGTCTGGGGTTAGAATGAGGTATTCCGTGCCTTCATTAGTCTAATTAGAGAGGGAGAAGATTTTTTAATTGATGTAAAAGTATAATTGTTGATACTTACTGAAAGTTTTTCGATGCTGATTTTGGGTCTTGCTGCGTGGTACAATATAAATAGCACGTTGAGGCCGATACCAATTAAAATTCCTAATTCTAGAGGCAGTACTAAGCAGGCGATGAAGGTTGCGAATCCAAGGAAGAGGTCACTTTCTGGAAAGCAAAATAGTTTAATTTTATTCAAAGAATTAGGTATCAGCAAATGAAGTCAAATGTTAATGTAGAGGCAACCTCATAGGAGTTCTGATGTTATTCACGCAAGGAGTTCCGAATTGCATAAACAAGCCTTCCACAGTTCCACTACTGCACGTACGTAAGTATATATGGAAATAGAATTTATTCCTGCAGACAAAAGCGATATTGTAACTATGACTTTCTGGAAAAAAAAAAAACTTTTCTTGTCACAGAGGTGATAGAAGCTTAAGTAATGATGACGACGTTCATTGTGGAAGTGGAGTGAAAGTTTCAAAAAAAATTCAGGCATCCAAATTCCTTCAAAGATAAATTCAGTGTCCTTTGTCAAACGGATTTGGATCCTTCTCACTTCATCAAAATGCCCAAACCCGACAAACCAGTATTGCCTTTCCATAAAGTCATGACTGAAGCAGCGAGACGAGCAGTTGGAAATATTTATACTCCTACATTTTATTTAATTCATGTATATAGCTTATTTATTATATATTCCTAGCTAGAAAAGTTAATAAAAATGGCAACTTACGATAGTGATGGAGACGAATTTTGGGATTCTTGTGAAGGATTAGACAAACAAAGACAAAATCCACTCAATTCTCACCGTGTTCAGTTTAAGCAATAAATCAACAAAATTTTGATAAGTTTTCATCACAACACCATTCACTTAGCCCATTTTTTGACGAATCAAACGATACAAATACTGATTGTTTTGCAAATGCGGTCAAAATACAGTCAAGGTCAACTCCATTAGCTATAGGAAGAAAGGAAACTCATCTTACAGAAATGACGAATGCCTTTTTGTCTGCGGTACGGACAAATGCCTTTTTGTCTGCGGTACAGACAATTGCTTCTGCTATTAACATTAAAGATAAACCCAAACCTTCATTTTATGGAAATGATACTAAAGAACCATTAACTTACATCTTAAAAATGAAATCAATCTTCAATAAAGACGAAATTCAGAGTTCTGACAAAGTTGATTTTGCAGCAGGCACACTCAAAGGCCAAGCTGCATAGTGGTTTCAGCCTTATCGCCAACATCCTCTCACTTGGGAAATGTTTAAGACTTTATTTATGCAAAGATTTAATAGTACTGCCACTGTAACAAATTAATTTCACAATATTATGGCAAAAATCAAGAAGAATCTGAAATGTGTTCTGTTTTCATTGCTAGGAAACAGGGTCTCCTTTACCGCCTTTTCCAGATTCGCCTGAGATCAACTGGTAGAAAAATTCCTGCCAAATATTAGTTCTAGAATTCGAGGTTTGTATTTCAATAATATACAACAGCTTACACACAGTTACAGCCATAGAGAATGATTTGAAGAAAGAGCAGATGCAAGATACGTTCAATGCAAATAGAAAAATTACTAAAATTAATTCTACAAATGACAGAAATGCTGGATCAAAAGGACCACCTATGGTGCTTGTAAATTTTGTGGTGATTGGCATTTCCATAATAAATGTTCACAAAATCCATATTTAGCTAGAAATGAAGGGAGAAATAACAGGTATTTTCCAATGTAATACCACAAGAGGTTCCAGGATTACCGGATAATACTTTTACCTGTCACGAAACGCGTTACGCAGCAACACCACGACTCCGAAGGAGGAGTGGTGTTGCTATTGTTACGCGTTGAGTGTCAGGTAAAAGTATTAGGTAATCCCGAGGGTAATCCTGAAACATCGAGTGGTATTCAAAAGGTTATACAACGAACTAAACTTTAATACTTTAAAATTTAAAAAAAATTCTATAATAGAATTTGCTATAAATGCCACCAAGCGCGATAATCCCAAAAGGCTTATCACTTATTAAGCCTCTCGTGTCATATGGGAATAATGTACAGTGAGTTGTATAATCAAAGAAATTCATCACCCCAAATTGACAACTCAATTCACTATCAACAGGAAAACGACAAAAGGGGAAGTGGCAATCCTGCGGTAGACCAACCCTAAAAAAATATTCAGCAGGGAAACCAATAGATTCTCCAAATATTCCTATATCAATAAATAATTTTCAAATTAATGCCCTTGTCGACACAGGAGCCAGCATTAACTTATTATTTCCCCTAAATTTTTCAAAGTCCTTCTAGCAGTAGGAAACAGAACAATTCATTTTGGCACATCCACATCCACATCCGTCGTGTCGAAATTGAGATTCATGGTTCTTTCAAGATTAAATATTTGCTTCTGGGAATGATATTGGAGTCGAATTTTCTTGTTATAACTAATTTACCAGAAGACTGCATAATGTGTTTTCCTTGGTTTTTAGAACAACAAGCTGTTTTGGATATTAGTCGATCTTGTATACATATTGGTACAGGTATCAGATGTACCTGCTATTAACCTTTCTTCATCTTTTCAAAATCATCTCATACAAAGCGTTCCCGAATTTGATTTAAATCCTGTTAAGAATTTATGTGAGCTTAGCTTCTCATTAAGAGATAGCGCTCTATGTTTTAGATACGATTTTATAATGTGCAAGCTGACAATATTGCAATGACACGTATTTTTTTTATTACCTAATGTGTGTTCTGTCAACTTTGTCAATGTTGTTGGTTGTTCTCTTCTATTGTAACCAAATTGTTAATAATAAATACGTTGTTTAAAGTCATCAAATCTGGGGTTTTATTAATATCAAATAACAGGTTATGCGCTCAGCTCACCCATGAATGAAATACTAATTTGTGAAAAGGAAACAAGCACCCGAAGAATAATTAATAAACCAAAATATTTAGACGAATATGAGGTCTATCAAGCTTACTGTTTAATTTCGACCGAAGAAAGTGATCCAATAGAGTACAAAGATGCTATTAAAAATAAGGAATGGAAAGATGCTGTGGAAAAAGAATTAGATTCACACGCAAAATTAAATACTTGGACAGAATCAAATGTACCAGATGGAAAATCTGCAATATAAACCAAGTGGGTGTTTCGAACAAAAGAGGATGGAACCAAAACGGCCCGAATTGTGGCAAAGGGATTCCAGATGAAAGGAAAAAGATCCATTTAATCCTGTATATTCGCCTGTTGCATAAGGTTATCGACAATAAGGCTATTAATATCAATGGCATTACAAAGAGATTTTAAAATAAGACAACTAGACATCCCAACTGCATTTCTAAACGGAAAATTAAACAGTTTATATATAGGTATGCACCTTTAGGATTAAAAGTAAAATCACCTACACTTAAATTGAATCGAGGGATTAAGGGAGTCACCGGAAGTATGGAACGATACTTTCAATAATTGTGCAATTGGAAACAATTATAAAACATCACTGTATGACTGTTGTTTATACTTTAATCAGAAAACTCGGATATTAATTTATGTCGATGACATGTTAGTCGTTGGCAAAGAAAAAGATATTGATAAAAGATTTCCAAGCCAAAGACTTAGGCGAAGTTAAAAACTTTTTAGGAATGAACAAGAACTGAAGAAGTAATAGACATAAACCAAAAAAAAGTTTGTAGAAAAATTACTGACAACAATCAGGATGGAAAATTGTCATGGAAAAACAACACCAATGGAGAAAGAATTTCAATACAACACAGAGCGAAATAATTGATGTACCTTATAGAGAGTTAATTGAAGGACTAATGTACCTATCAATAACTACCAGACCCGACATTACATTTTCAGTATCATATCTAAGTCGATTTTTAGATAAACCAACAATGGAGACTTGGAATGCAGGGAAAAGAGTTTTGAGTTATCTACAGGAAACCAAAATGAAAACTTTAAGTTATTATGAAACTGATATTACTGAATTAAAACTCACTGGATATTCAGATGCAGATTGGGCAACTGACAAAATAGACAGGAAAAGTGTTTGGATGTATTATATTATATGGTAAAAATCCAATATATTGATTGGTTCTCGAATCTGGGCCTGGGGTTTTATTAATATCAAATAACAAATCATTCAGATACAAAGATTTAAAATAATTATCAGAAACTGCTAACAGAATTTTCTTATATTTTTGATGAATCATTGAAACGACCAATAACACGAAGTATTCGACATGACATAAGACTAAATTCAAATAGAGTGGTAAAAACAAAACCATATTCCTCAAGCGAACATAAAAAACTTATTTTAAATGAACAAGTCAGTGAAATGTTGGCTATGGTGTTATTGAACCTTCTGGTTCACCTTATTTTCCTCATCTCCTATAATAAACGAACGAATGGGAAAAAAGCCAAGATTCTATGTAGATTACCGCATATTGAATGAGATAACAGAAGACGAACTTATTAGATTACCTAAAATTCATGAAACAGTAAAGGAATTAGGATCTGCGTCAGTTTTTACATCATTGAATCTAAAAAGTGGATATTGGCAAGTGGGCTTATCAGAAAGGCCTAAGCCTTTAACAGCATTTTCAACATCAGATGGAGGGCATTATCAATTTACAGTAATGCCCCTTGGACTTAAAAATACCCCTAGCAGTTTCCGAAAGCTTATGTCGCAGGACAGGTTTTCTACATAAATTCACCTTGGTTTATCTTGATGACATAATTATTTATTCCAAGAATCACGAAGATCATAGAAAGCATTTAAGATTAGTGCTAGAAGTATCCACCAACTTCGATGTTCAATAAAAAAATTTAAATTTGCTGCAAATCAACTGGACTTTCTAGGCCACACAATAAATGATATAAATATGCCTCAAACATATCATTTACAAGAAATTAAAAAATATGCTGTTCCTCGAAATAAAAAAGAACTTCAATCATTTTTAGGTACAGGGTGTTTGTTTATAACTGGAACACTCAGTAACTTTTTTATTATTGAAAATAAAGGGCACGTTTAAATTGGAAAATTTCTTGGTAAATTGCAACGATCTTTATCGCTGCAACGATATTTTTTTGTCGCCATAGGTATACAGGGTGCGCCAAAAAAATCATTTTTTTTTTTAATGGAACGCCCTGTATATTTTTGCATTTTCAAAATTCTT